AGTCACGTTTCATCAACGGAGCCGGCCCACACTCTTTCACAGGCAAAGGCAAGCACGCTGTATTTGGGGAATCAAGCGCACACAAGGCGGTGGCTGGATCGTAGTCTGTTCCACACTGAGTGCATGGAACCACTCTTCCAGCCTAGCACGATCACAAGGACCGTGCACCCCGTCCCCTCTAGCAACGACCAACTGTCTCCTAGAGGTAGTATGGACGAGGTAGTGGGTAATAGACAGATAGGCATCTTGTCAACATGCACTTCAAGCGCAGCCACACCTGGGATGTCAAATAACAGCCAATCACTCAAAATGCCCATATCGAGTAAAGTAAACGCATATAACGACATAAATACTCGCTAAATGAGCATATAGAAGATATTGGTTATAAGTGAATCCGTGATAAGTACAAAATACCATGCGATACAATTACGTAAGTTTACCACAATTTGCATGAGCGACGTGTGCAAGTTGGGAGAAGATTATAAAGTACGCAGAACAAACCAAATAAAATGTAATGAATTCTATCCACATTAAAAAGACCTGGTTTACATATATATATATATATATATATATATATATATATATATATATATATATATATATATACCATTTTCACTTTAAACTGGACATTTTTCAAACCAAAGTGGACATTTTGCAAACCAAAGTGGACATTTTGCAAACCAAAGTGGACATTTTGCAAACCAAACTGGACATTTTGCAAACCAAACTGGACATTTTGCAAACCACATTGGACATTTTGCAAACCACATTGGACGTTTTGCAAACCAAACTGGACATTTTGCAAACCAAAGTGGACATTTTGCAAAACAAATTGGACACGTTGCAATCAAAGTAGCAACTCGCCAATTTGTTGGTAAGAAACGAGCAGTAAGACTGCTGAATGATGTTCAGCATATACATTGTGATGACGCTAATACACCGGCATTGTGTAAGCAGCGGGCTACAATGTAAAACATTTGCTTGATCGTGAGCAGCGACCGAAGTTCTGAACTACGCTCCCCTCTCCCCATTGACATTCGCCTAGTTGGTGTGCAGTGCCCATACGCATCAACCTGTGTTGGTGTGTGACAATTGGAAAATCGGACTTCCGAATCGTAATTGTGTATCAATCATTTTGTGAGTGGATTGCGATGCGCAATCTCAATGTGCACCGTTATTCTCATTAGAGAGAACCTTGTCCGATTCGGTCAATGGGACCATGTCGGATGAAGCAGGTAGGCGGTGTCCCAGCTTCGCCCGTCTCTCTATTAGCTTTCGCACCTGCCACGTTATTGTATCAGCGTAGGCTGTAATGACCCCCAGCAAAACCAGTCTAGAGCTATAGCCTATTGTTGCAACATATTAACTACTGAGGAGTGGGCCGATTACACGATGTTCAGGCCACATTGTGGTCACGATAATGTAACCGAACTGCGTACGTAGCGGGTGATTGTGTAAGCCCTTCTCTTGACATGAGTGCCGTTCGCCTCGGTCAAAATCGGTGACCTATTTTCCCCTACACCCCCCCATAGGAATTCGTGTGTTTTGTCTGGGTGTGTGGACCGACCAATGCAGCGGTACCACTATTGGAGCCGAGCATACGATAACGGTTCCACTCAACCCAAATTAGCTTTATTAGCTCCGTGCCGCACGAAACGACCAAAATGAGTGACGAACAACAGGAGAGCTGGTGTCCGACGCGACGGCACTGCAGGCGAACATCATTTGCGCAAAGAGAAATTCTCACAAAACTTGTGCTGGTCGACGGCAAAACTACTCGGGAAGCCGCTGAAGTCGCCGGTGTTAACGCGAGTACGGCAAGGAACATCATTAATGCCTACAAGCGAGAAGGCTCAAATACACAGCGCACCTGCGGTGGAAACAATAGGGAGAAGCTGACTCCCAATGTATTGCAGCGTGTCGAAGAAGCGGTTGAACGGCACTCTGAGGACACGTTGGTGCAGCTGCAGATGCGCCTGAGAGAGGATGGGATAAACCTATCAGTATCCTCTGTCTTCAACGCCCTCAGAAGACTAAAGATAACTCTCAAAAAGTGTCATTACGAGCTCGACCGAGTCAACAGTGCCACGACAATCGCTAGCCGACAGGCGTACGCTCTCGAATTCTCGGTGACCGTCCTGCTCTTACACGCTAAGCCAACTGTTAATATTGAAAACGCACATTTTGAAATTGAAATGGTGTATTAACAAAAAATAAGGCAGTAACCATAGCAAAGATCAGTTGACGAAGGGTTGTCCGGTTGTCGCTTTCGTCAGGTTCATCATTGTATTGAGAACGCAGTTCATGCAGTCCTGCTGCGTTACCATCCCAACGCTGTCCTGAATGACCGTGCTCAGCGTCTGCTCAGGTGTGGGGTTAATAAGCAGGCGTCTCGCCGACGCTTTCACCTTTGAAAAGACGTGTTCTACCGGGTTTAGCATGTACGAGTAGGGCGGCAAGAACTGCAGGTGATAAGACGAACCAAGGATCCTCCTTAGCTCATCAGGCATATGGATCCTGGCATTGTCCATGATCAGCCACGCGCCGTTCATCTCCACTATGCAGCTTATACGCGCCACCAGTTCCTCGACGAACGCTGAGAACTTCGCACCATTGCAAGTGCCGTCGTTAATGATCTTTGAATGGATGACGCCTTGGTTATTCATTGCAACAATCAGGGTTACCATGCGACCTCTGACTGTGGGTAACACGACGTTCGCGCGCGTCCCTCTTCTTGAGCGAGCCTGATTTCGCCTCAGATGAAGGTTGAAACCACTCTCATCTATGAAGATGCATTTCTCCTTGTTAGAAGGTGCATGTGCCGAGAACTCGAGAGCGTACGCCTGTCGGCTAGCGATTGTCGTGGCACTGTTGACTCGGTCGAGCTCGTAATGACACTTTTTGAGAGTTATCTTTAGTCTTCTGAGGGCGTTGAAGACAGAGGATACTGATAGGTTTATCCCATCCTCTCTCAGGCGCATCTGCAGCTGCACCAACGTGTCCTCAGAGTGCCGTTCAACCGCTTCTTCGACACGCTGCAATACATTGGGAGTCAGCTTCTCCCTATTGTTTCCACCGCAGGTGCGCTGTGTATTTGAGCCTTCTCGCTTGTATGCATTAATGATGTTCCTTGCCGTACTCGCGTTAACACCGGCGACTTCAGCGGCTTCCCGAGTAGTTTTGCCGTCGACCAGCACAAGTTTTGTGAGAATTTCTCTTTGCGCAAATGATGTTCGCCTGCAGTGCCGTCGCGTCGGACACCAGCTCTCCTGTTGTTCGTCACTCATTTTGGTCGTTTCGTGCGGCACGGAGCTAATAAAGCTAATTTGGGTTGAGTGGAACCGTTATCGTATGCTCGGCTCCAATAGTGGTACCGCTGCATTGGTCGGTCCACACACCCAGACAAAACACACGAATTCCTATGGGGGGGTGTAGGGGAAAATAGGTCACCGATTTTGACCGAGGCGAACGGCACTCATGTCAAGAGAAGGGCTTACACAATCACCCGCTACGTACGCAGTTCGGTTACATTATCGTGACCACAATGTGGCCTGAACATCGTGTAATCGGCCCACTCCTCAGTAGTTAATATGTTGCAACAATAGGCTATAGCTCTAGACTGGTTTTGCTGGGGGTCATTACAGCCTACGCTGATACAATAACGTGGCAGGTGCGAAAGCTAATAGAGAGACGGGCGAAGCTGGGACACCGCCTACCTGCTTCATCCGACATGGTCCCATTGACCGAATCGGACAAGGTTCTCTCTAATGAGAATAACGGTGCACATTGAGATTGCGCATCGCAATCCACTCACAAAATGATTGATACACAATTACGATTCGGAAGTCCGATTTTCCAATTGTCACACACCAACACAGGTTGATGCGTATGGGCACTGCACACCAACTAGGCGAATGTCAATGGGGAGAGGGGAGCGTAGTTCAGAACTTCGGTCGCTGCTCACGATCAAGCAAATGTTTTACAGTGTAGCCCGCTGCTTACACAATGCCGGTGTATTAGCGTCATCACAATGTATATGCTGAACATCATTCAGCAGTCTTACTGCTCGTTTCTTACCAACAAATTGGCGAGTTGCTACTTTGATTGCAACGTGTCCAATTTGTTTTGCAAAATGTCCACTTTGGTTTGCAAAATGTCCAGTTTGGTTTGCAAAACGTCCAATGTGGTTTGCAAAATGTCCAATGTGGTTTGCAAAATGTCCAGTTTGGTTTGCAAAATGTCCAGTTTGGTTTGCAAAATGTCCACTTTGGTTTGCAAAATGTCCACTTTGGTTTGAAAAATGTCCAGTTTAAAGTGAAAATGGTATATATATACTTCTGACTGGAGACCATCGTTATCGATCTACAGTATCCAACGAGGTGTGTTCATAGCAGAGGGCGGCACTTAGCTTACTCTAGTAGAATAAGCGCGTGATAATCTGCGGTCATAAATGGCACCGTTTTGAAGCACTTACCAATGTTGCAAATTGGTGTTTTCGCGAAAGGATCGAATCACCTCACGACTTAAGGAATCAGATTCAATTGTTTGGTATAAACTATCAAGCAGTATTCCATATGTGTCGCAAAGAAAAATGGGAGCACTGGACGACACCAGCACACTAGAGTTATTATGAGGTACGCAGGTGGCGTGCGCTGAATTTGTTGCAACTGGACTACTCAATCAGATAACCATCACATACCCGGAGTAAGAACCTGACGGTTTTTCGTCAAGAGAGTGCACGCTATGTGCCTCATGTGAGGCTAATATTAGCTAATGCAGTGGTTACTACGACGAAACCAATGTGAGACGGCCACGAGAGATAGGAATAAGTTACGAAGTGGGATATGGCATGGATCACGCACACGATGTCACAGGGTTTTGACGAAATGAGCATTGGCTATTATTAAAAAAAGAGGACCGTTGACAATGGTCAGGTCGAAAACATCTATACAATGTGCCAAGCGCTATACATTACCAGCGGGTGTGTGTATTTCGCTCACCCGAACGGAGGAACAGTCGGAATCAGCAGCAAGCGAGTTGGTAACGACCACCATATGACAATCACCCAACTGCAAGTCATCCAACTCTCCGGCTAGCTCGTACGCTTCCTTGGGCCGTGTACTTCGCTGAGAGAGAGCCCCGAAGAAGCCACCGTGAGGCCAACTTCCACTGTCGTCTGTGAAAAGCAAGAGGACAACAAGATCAAGAATTAAAGAAATAGAATGAGAAAGTAGCAATAGAGTTGGCAGACATTCATGAATAATTCAGTCAGAGCGCTGATGCGAAATAAGTACCGAAATTGTAAAAGAATAACGGGAAAATTCCAGGGAGCGAAAAGAATGGAGAAGAGTGACGTCAGAGCAACATCTAGTTGGTATGGAAGTAGTACTTCATTCCTAAACGCATGTTGGAGAAAAGGGCTAAAGGGCGTACCGTAAGGGCCAATGGTTCTCAACTGTTATGAGACTGTTACAAAGCATTTACACTATAAGCAATTACCACATCCAAAAAAGTTAGTTAAAAAAACTAATTAACTATGGTAATTTTTGCCGTAATCTACGGAAAATGAATAAAGAAATTCACATTCCCACGCCTATCTATTCATAATCCCAGACGCGTACTAAGTGTCCTCGTAGCTAGCTCCCAAACTACGCGTAACTGTGGGAAATTGTATAGCCCTAGGACCTCATTGCTGTTATTAATCCCTTTAGTATGCCTAACTTCCTTTGCTTAAATCCGGTTTGCTTTATTTGCTCGATAATAAGCAAAGTGTCTTAACAGGATAATCAGCGGTCCATTGGCAAAAATAGTTTGAGAGCCAGGCTTTTGTGAACGCACTTTCGCCTAAGTTGGTCTCATTCCTCTTAGTTTTTATCTGAGTTAAATACTTGTCAATCGCTATTGGAAACAGCAGCTGACGGGCAGCACGAAAAACCAGATGCCACTTTTCGGCCATTCTTATATTTTTACCATTTCATATTCCCTTGACTGGCTTGAAAACTTGCCATGTGTCAGAGTGCCACTGCCATGTCGGAAAGCTGGACATCCAGGACATTTTGATCACCACTTCATCTTACCTTGGCCATCACTACGAAAATTATCTTTTACCTGGCTCCGATGCCCACTATAAGCTAATGAAACTGATGCGCAGTGGTGGGTGGACAACCAGATCCTACATTTTAAGACACCTTGCTCTTCTTAAGTTATACCATTAATTATTCATTATGCCTGGCGCAGTGGAATAACCAGAAACAGCAAAACCACAAGTGCGCTTGCGCACGATACATTCGAGCTTACGTTAGCCGAACCTGCACCACTAGATAATGATCCACCTACATCAGGCATATAAAAGAGTAAATAGGAGTCTTGAAAATGGTATAATGGTGTACGCTTAGTGTACTCAAATACGTAGACAACCTACATTCCCACCCAAGTCAATCCATGGTCGTCAAAACCCTGCTTAACGGTCTCAGCAAAATTATCAGTACTACAGGTTGCTTCCTATCTTTCGTCTTCTTACCTACTTACTTTCGTTGACCTAAGCCTTGTGTCTCAAGAGTAAAGCGGACCGAAGCCTTTTGTTATCCATAAAGTAAAAACAGTGGTAGCTTTTGCAGTCTCCGCCACATAAATCGCAGGCAGATGAGAACAAATTGGCCAAATGAATATTGAGCTGGCCTGCCGTCTCTCTGTGATCAAGGCTTATATTGCCCGGCACTATACTCTCGACCACTTGAAGGTATAGAAAAAGATTTTTCCTTCCTTGCATTTCGCTAAGTCTCAGTATCCTCAAAAGAATGCTCGAGGGGCTCATCTTACCATGCACTAATACAGGTGAGTTCACAGACACTGAGTTTACGTAAGGTCCCGCAAGGATGGTTTAGCATGATCGCGAAGTTATACGTGTAATTTTGTTTTATTTTCAATCACTTACGCACGAAAAAACCAGATTTTTCGGTCTTTCAGGTCGAACGTCGCAACCATCGCTACTTCCGTGCTGTGCCCCGACTTAGTAGATGCGCTTTGTTACCTAGAATCTAGCTAACCGCACTGGTTTTCATGTTTTTCATTCTTCCTTTCGTAGTTTGTTTGGAAAACAAAATCGCAATTTTAGCGAAAATTAACGTGGGGCGTTATTCGCAGTTTTTCGTGACTGCAGGAGATATCGCACTTATTTCGCCATTATAATGTAGAGCACCGCATGTTTGCTGCGTTTGGCTTGCTTGTTTTTACTTTTTTCCCATTTTTCTCCCCAGAAATCTCTAGGCTGGTAGTCCAATTCATTCTGTCACCCTCCAAGGTCATCCACTGATTTAATGTATGAATGGCACACTGCGTATCTTGTGCATGCTTAAAGAATTGCTTTATCCAGTTGCACTATATTTCGCTCAACATATAAAAATTTATGTCTAGTCTTACGATTTTTCGCCTTTTGCTATTGCATTCATTTGTTTTATTTTCCCCCGTTCAACCTAATTCTCCTGCGCCATTTACATATTTATCGAGAGATTAGCTTGATTGCTATGGGCATCTGGAGGAAGAAAATGAAAACGCGCTTCTTTAAGCTGGATCGTGGTTGGAAAACGCAAACTCCCACAGGAGACAAACTGCAATCTAGCACCCTCACATTGCGGGCGCCTTCATCTGCCCGTTTGGAATTCCAGAGTTACAAAAAACCCGACAAATAACATGTGAAAACCTCATGCGTGAGTATGACGCTCCTGTACATTTTGATCTGACTCTCCCGGGTTCAGTCTCTTGCAGACGAGAATATACACTTGTTCTTCTTCTTTATTGCTGATGGGGCGAGACACACCCCAAAGGCGTGATGAGCAAGCGGTAACACAGTGCAGCAATACCTCGATCACACAGCTGGATCGGAAAACACCTTGTTTCTCAAGATATGCAATAAGTTTAAATGACAAATGAAAATCTGTGCAATGTAGGTGGATTGCACTTGGAATATGATTGATAGATCAAGTTCGTTAGTTGTACAATACTTTTGGAAGGAAAGTAAAAATAAATTGCTATAATGAAATAATGTTGTCGCCAGGGTCATGGAAGTGTCTTTCTTGAACCAATTAATGTGGTATTCGTTTAAAAAATCGAAGTCGGATCGAAAGATTACAGGTCTGTGAGCTTGTGATAAGAAGCGTTGGAGTCAAGATGAATAAACAATGACGGTTTTTGTTTATATTTTATAAGTTAAATGAAGAAAACTCCAATTCTGGGGCAAATTTTTATTAACTCAAGAGGTGATGTAAGTTAATAGACCGTTGATATTGATTAGTTCCAACAAGTTATGGTATATTTGGTGCGGTTTCGGCTAATGCACATTGTAAGTCGTGCTCCGAATTCATTTGGTTCACTTGGTGTGTGATCCCTGATAAAACATGTACATGTGTCAGTGGCATCTCTTGTGTTGCAATTCTCCATCCCAAGTCATTCCAGTATGATACCTACCCACCATCACCACTGCGTTTCGATACGTCTTGAACACTAATCGCTTGTTTTGTCCCTTCTACTCGGTAAAAATTCCCTCGCTCCTACACCTGGTCGGCTGACTATGCTCAAATATTAGTGTTCACTCAACTCTGTAATTCGACCCGGAGAACGACTGCCTGACTCAGAAGACCAAAGATCGACGAACGAGCCAAGAGAGGCGCCATATAGATGTGCTGCTTTGCAGGGTTGTATTCGTACGTTACGTAATAAAAGTAACTGCCGAAAATTGACCAATCCACTGACCAATCACTAATAATTAGGCCCTGATAGCTAATCATATTGATTAGGTAGTTAGTTAATTGTTTAGATATAGAGGCTTTTGGTACTAATTTTGTTCGGGGACAGACTGGTGACCCAATCCTCATACTTACATTTACCCCACGTAAAATTCCATTTTACCACTTTGGGGGTAATTACCTCCAGGTTGAGAACCACTGATATAGGCTATAAAATGGAACGCAAAGAAGATAAAAAGCACCGCGAATAGTCAACTCATGGGTAAGGAGATCAATGCAATTTTTATAGAAAATTCATCGCGGTTAACAAGCGGCGAACCGGTCTACCACGCATACGGAAAAGTACCAGACAGCCGGTCCGTCAGCAAAGTGTTTCCTTCGGCTTCCACAGGAAAAATGCGTATCAGATGCAAGTCGCAGTTCAGTTACTTCCAACCGGGAAACTCGAACGGGCAAGGAAGCAAACATCCAGTGTAATGCTAAAAGCGGAAAACGTTCACCATTTTCGCCCGGACATGCTCTTGCATATGGCCAAGACATCAGAATGACATGTGTGCAAAGTAGGCGAGAAGCTGGCTGGGTGTGTAGGCGATTAGGACATGAAGCTGGCCACAAATCATTCCAAATGACTCATGCTGCATACAAAAAAACATTAATCACATCTGGATTCCAAGAAAATGTGACTAGCCTGACGGGACGGTGATAGAAGCGGTTCGTGGAACACAGCTCCTGAGTCAGTGTCGAAGAAGGATGAGGGACGAATTGCGGTGCCTCAACGGTATGGGTACCGGGAACAATTGGACGCTTTGTGACTCACAGTTTACCGGTAACTATAGGGTTGCTTAAAGATTGGGAGTATCCAGAACAAGTTGAGGATCAAAAGAGGAGCTTGTAAGCAAGCAGTAGCTTGATTCCCGTATCAACCGTCGATCGTGAAGCAAGCTCCGTTGAAGATGACAGAAAGCCCGTTGTCATAAAGCTAGTGATTTCGAAAAGCGACGTGAATGGATTACACCACATAGGCAAATTTAAAGAGCAAGCTGACCAATTGCTGATGGGTGGGGTTCAGGTAAACCTCAGAAGGTGAAGCAGAGAGAACAAAGATTATCAAATTTGCTAACCGTCAAAAAATTAACATATAAGGGAGAAGCTGAGGCTTCGAGTAACATTGGGAAGATCAGAAGATAGAACCTGTTATACTTAGGACGTTTATCATCCAACAGTTGCAAGGGAGCCCATTTATAAAAGACTTGAAAATCCGTTTCCATGTCCATAGTCTTGGTAGACCTTCGATTAGTCCAGATTGAATGCCATTGACTAGCGGCCAGCGAATGACAGAGTCAATCAGTTAGACAAACAACAGGAGCATTTACTGGTATATGGTAGTTTCTGGAAGCGGAGAACCTACCTCTAGATCTTTTTCGTTAAGCTATAGTCAGAGCAATTTCGAGTGCAGATAACAATGTATCTACTGGAGCCCAGCCGAAAATTTTACCGAGGACTTTGTCAAGCTTTTTGGAAGTCGATATAGCTGTGTCGATTATCTGTACTGTCAGCAGAAACCAAACAGGTATGGCGCTCTAACGCCGACGGAAGAGACATAAGTGAAGAAGGTATTGACTATGCTTTTCTCACAGAAAAAGTTTCAGTGCATAGACCAATCGTATGCCCGTATATGGACGTCTCTGCATAGACCTTGACATCGCATTGAATCACAACGCACAAGAAATAGTTATCTGCTAGCGAGGCTAACTATGACCTGAAAATCAGATCGATCTATCCCCGCGCAGTGGGACAGTGCATAGATATTCATTTGGTAGGGCCATCGAACAGAAACTCGCCAACATTATCTTCCCCCGGCTTGAAGCACGTAAACGGGAAATCAAATGACATACCTCGAGGAAATGCTGCTCGCAAGGTGGAACGTCCATTTCACAATTTATGTTCTTTTAACAGATCTCAATGTAAATGGCATTGGAAACAATGGACCAACCTGATAACGATGACAAGAAAAATTTGGCTTACGAGGCTCTGTGAAACAGGACCTTAAAACTGCACTAATGATGTTGCCTAGCCTGGAAGCGAAACGTCTACAAAATAAGCATTCAGCTCGGAGAGCAGTGTAAAACCCACATTTGGCTAGACCGGTCGCAAGGGGACTGGACCTTGACGTAGTACGACGGTATGTGTACCTCACTGATGCACGGAGCAATACTGGGTGGTGTTCCGGGCCACTTGAGAGCTACACCTACCAGGTTGGTCAATGGTTAGAAATCAGACAAACTCATACCTCTGGTCCGCCACGTCGGTGATTTGAAATAGGATGGCGTCCATTGCTAGAAAACCTTCCCGATAACTTGCGGACAGGGAATCGAACCCCGGATATACGGATTACCGGTCCGGTGCTCTACCAACTGAGCTAACGAGGATTGACGATCAGGTGCGCAATTTAATACATGACTTCTGTTTGGTTCGCGCCGTATTGCCAATAAGTTCACAGTATCTGTCCTGGTGTTGCAGATTGGCTCACTCATTTGTCACTTCCCAATGAACCGAAGTATCTGTCCTTCAGGTGTTCAAAGAGTGATGGTAACTTTAGAGTATTGGTGGTTTTGTGAGCATGTAGTTTTTGTAGAAGGTAGAAGCCATGATTAAACTGCACAATAATCTGCCTCGACGGGGAATCGAACCCCGGATATATGGATTACCAATCCGCTGCTCTCCCTAGGTTCGATTCCCCGTCGAGGCAGATTATTATGCAGTTTAATCGTGGCTTCTACATTCTACAAAAATTACGTACTTACAAAACCATCAATACTCTAAACTTGCGAACAGTCTTTTGAGCCAAAGGCTTTAATTAAGGATCCTAATCGTTCGCCTGTCTAGGTCTGGGCGCCCTCACAGTATCTCAGCCAACTTAGAATCATGAATATTTCTTCAAACTTCAACCACATCCTGCATCGGCCATCGCGCAGATTATGATCACCTTATCTGCTGCATACAGTGGGACACATAAGTGAAAACATGCTACGGCTGGCGCGTCTCTACTTTATTTTCCATCCGTTTCTTGTACTACACTCCCAACCCACATTACTAATCTTCTTTGTATAATTCCCAACTTAATCGACAGCAGCTGTAATGCCAACGGAGTCGAACCATCTGCAGCTACCTTCCCGCACCGCCCACTAGATGCCTAACAGTAACAGTCCCTTATAAGGCCATCATGTCCCGTTTCCCAAGCGGCGTACAACGTTCGCAATCTAAGATCAACAGGTTGCACTCGCACGCACATTCGACACAGTGGTTATTGGCGTGTTTTGTGTGTGCAAAACTAGAATCAATGACTCTCATGGATTTTTGAATTAACTGCGCCCGGATTCTCCTCTCCCTACCGGTTGCACGCATCCGAAGCCACTTACGCGGCAGCCTCTAGTCAAGATGGGGTAGGCATCGTTCTCAGCTTTAAGGCTGTCATCATTAATTGATCGGATTCCCGCAAGTAGCCGTTTGTGTGCAGTCCGTTTGACGACATTAACTAAGGCTGATTCACGAAGAAGTACTAGATGCTGTTTGTGGTTTCCGTTTACAATCACACCGACTGCAGCTCTGATGCTGCCAAAGATACCTTCTAACACGAACTGAACACGCCGCAGTGATATCAGTTCTGATATCACAGTTCTTGCATGGGATACGAATACCCGAATAAGTAATCTGAGCACTTCAGAAGGATAACGTCGGAGCGGAGCGATAGCTGCTTCTTAGTAGCACAGCTTTTAAGACATAGTGGGTGCCGTAGTGCCAGTTGGCGTTCTCCCATAACTGGCCAGCGATGAACACAAATAGAACATGTTGCCGTAAGTTACAGTTGGCGTAGTTTCATCCTGAATTGTTGCTCATGCTGGAGTAGTTGCATCGACTCTGACCATTATTGGTACGCTGTCGTTTTTTCATTCCACGTGCCGCCCTCGATTGACAGCTAAGTTATCTCAGTCCTCGGTCAGGCAAGACTGCCAGGATGCCTTTCCTACCGAACTTGCGCACCTTCGTCCTAATGACAATGATCTTCGTCGGTCATGGGCGACGCAAGAGACTCTGCTTGTGGTACTATCAGCCGTCACTGAATATCCGAAAGGTCGGTGAATCTGTTGGAATCCAGGAAAAAACTACCGGCTGGATTTGAGCAGAATTTGACCAGACAGGCTATTAGATGCGAACCAAAGCGGAGCCGGTGTGCTGACAAGAAAGCCTGGTAGACCAGTGGAGCTCAAGAAATGGGGCCCGGAGCAGTAGGCAACTATCGCAAACACTTCAAGCCGATCTGCACCACTGATCCCTGGAAACCAGACAGCGCGGCTGCCATGATTCATAAAAGAGAATGCCGTGCGCCTCGTTAGGCGGAAAACTTTCAAGATAAGTTCAGTTGTCACCCTGCTTCCAATCCTCCACCAACGCAGGTGTTACAGGATGAGCCATGGAGAGTTAGTTTAGAGACTCCGCCGGAAACTGAGTTCCGAAACGCGTTCGCAGCCCTTAATCGTTTTCGTGATCCTGACTCGGATGCTGCTGCACGTGCTATATATAAGGATGGCAGTGAGGCCCTCCGCAAAGCACTGGCCTCCCTGTACGAACAGGTCTAGAAGGCCGAGACCATCCCAGCTAACTAGAGTGAACCAATTATAGTGGCGACATACAAGAAAGGCAGTCACACCGAGTGTGCTAGCCGCAGGGGCAGTAGCTTAACGCCGGTGGGGGGACAAAATTACTGGTCTCAATTCTTATTCGTCGCTTTACTTCGGAGCGAGAATCACGTATTAAGGAAGAGCAGGCAGACTTCCGCCCAGGACGGGATTGTACAGAGGAAAGGTTCACTTTCCTGCTGGTGCTCGAGCAACACCACACGTACCGACAATAGCTGTGTTCCTCGACTTCAACAATGCGTTCGACACAGTTGATCGATGCATGCTGTTTGAAATACTTGTGCGAAAAGGTGTTCCCACGAAATATGGGAACATTTTACCTGCTCTAGACTCGAACACGACAGACCGAGTCCCGGTCTACGGTGATATATTGGATGTCTTTCCGACAACAAGTGGTGTTCGTCTTGGTTGTCCAATTTACCCATTTTTTGTTTGATTTCGTCGTGGACTGCATCATCGAGTGTTACCTTTCGGAGCACCACGATGCAGGTGTCGAGGTGTTGTCTAGTCAAAGGCTAGTTGATCTTGTTTACGCGGACGATATCGTCCTGGGGCGGTGCAATCCACGGTGAATAACCGCCTCTAGAGTGGCCCCATCATTTGGTATGCACTTCGTATCTTCAATGTGAGGTTGGAGGAGCACCGGTCCGTTGATGATCTCTTGACCCTTGAAAGCGAGGAACTCGAGGCAGTTGATCAATTCACTTGGCGAATGCATAGGCAACGATGGGCTTATAACTACTGAAGTCAGCTCCGCACTGCAAAAGCTAAAACTGTCTTTTTGAATCTGCGACATTCTTGGCGTAGGAAAGAAGTTTCCCTCGGTTCGAAATGCCGTGTTTACAAGGTCACAGTGAGGGCGCCTTACTCTATGGGAGTGAGACAGCCCCTTCGGACTGAACATCTGAGGCGTCTTCAAGTCATTGATCATGATTGATGTCGGGTGGCACCAGCGTGCGTAGGCAGATGCTAGGCGGTGATAAGCAAGCTAGTTCGTTAGAACAACAGATAGCACTGAATAAGCTGCGTTGGCTTTGGCACGTACTACGCATGTCCCGTTGTCGTTTAGCGTGTAGGAGATTGTTTTGTTTGCCGAATGTATGGTGGCGCCAGGTTCGAAGTGGGCAAAAGTTAACTGGGCGGCGGAAATAAAATCATTGACGATGATACTGTATACTGTTGGCCCGGTTCGCCTTCTAAGCTGCAGTCCACCTAACTCGCCTTGTCCTTGGTTCTAGACTCTACAGGATATGGCTCACAGTCAACACCAGTGGAGCGTCTGCTGTCATCTCATAGTTGAACTGACTGTTCAAAGTTTGTTTGTGTTGAGTTAGTTAGGAGCAGTGGAAGCCTCAAGGAGCCTGTCTCGCAGATGTGCCTAATCTTTGAATGGTAGCAAGCTGGTTGTGTTGGTATGTGGTTGTTAAAGTATAGACGTCTTGACCCTGATTGCTTATTCATGGCACAGAGTTTTTACAATATGTCGCCTTCTTATTACCCATCACCTCGTAGGTCATTGTGGTTGTACGGCAGAGAAACTATTGCTTTTCTGTTTGTTGCTGACTTGAAATAAATGTGCTTTTATTCACGGATGAAACAAGAACTTGCGAATGCGGCAATATAACGAACCTAACGTAAGACATACAATCGCAGGTCGAGTATAGGTTTCTTCAGAAGGGCCGCTTTCGCCGAACTTGGTAAGCGGTTCCGAAGCATCTCCCAACACGTAGTGGATGGCTGGTGGGTGGGGTGAAGCATCACGGTTCAGCACACCTTCTTCGTTGGGAAAAGTTGCGAAGCCAAGACCAACGTCCCCAGAGGAAACATGTGGGTAAGCTTGTCTCGCTTCGATTTCGAGAGCAATCTCCTCGCGGAATACAGACAGAGAAGAGTATCCAACAGAATCCCACTTCGCTTTTCTAAAAATAGGGAATAAAAGACGTGTTCAAAAAAATTTGGATTGTAATGGATCCGTTACTAGATAGAAGTTAATCACGGGAATGCATACTAGAAGAGAAATGCGCACCTCTGTGGTCGGTAGGGATGCGTATGGTAGCATCTTCTAAGTGCCCTCGGGATCACGCATCAATAGTAAATCAGTGGCTATAGGTGAGAAAACCCCGCCATGGCTCCCTCGTCACGAGGAAGAGTGGACAGTCCGCTCTCCACAAGACAGCTATGGATGAAAACGATTACGGACAGCAGGTTGCAGGTTTATAGAATCGTTGGCTACCAGTGTCCAATATGCATGATAGCCATATACAGGCCGGTAAATGCTGTACCCCATGCTGAGGTTGATGTTGCATCAATGCTACTTCTGCACCGCAGTTTGGCTACACCGACTTACACTTTGACTATATCTTCTTACGCTGGATACAAAGTATTCCAATTTAGTTGATCGGCTCAGTTCTCTTATTTGTTGCATATTTCGTGTCTATTTTGTGTGTTAACTTCTCTACAAATTCTATGTTGCTTGTTTGATATTCTAGGTGTAGCTACGCTTGACTGAACGCTGGCAATGTGCCTATCTGTATGAAACCATCCATCTCGATTACTGGCTCCAGGTGAATTTATCACGAATTAGTTTTTATTTTAGGTATTGGGAATCAAAGACAAAGTTAATCGGTGCGAATGCCGTGGGCTAATCAAGAAGGCGGTTGTCTACATACAGAAGGCACTATTGCAAGAGGAGAAACGTCGAACCCGGAAGCGACAGGAACCGATGGATTCGATGCCACCAACCTTGGGTGTATGGTGCTGTAGCACATACGGTCGCAAGTGCCTCAGGCGAAGTTTGCTGGTAAGCTGACACTGTTGCCACGTGAGGCCAGCATCCAAAAGACGACCAGTTAGCTGATTAGCATCTGCGCAGCGTTTATAAGTACGTTGCATCCGCTTCCACTAGAGTTACTGACTAATGGCAATAAAGTCGTTGATGTTGTATGTGTACTATATTATCGATGCAGTTGGTCTGTACGCGTGCCCGATCGTGGTTTCTTACATTACAGGTGTTGGCTGTTGATCGATATCCCCAGTGTGGCTGCGCTTGATGTAAAGGTTGACCAGGTGCCTACCTGTCTATTACCTCCCACCTCGTCTAAACCGGCTCCAAAACGATGCTGGGGGACGGAGTGCACCGTCCTCGTGATCGTGCTAGGCTCAAAGAGTATGTCTGGTACGCAGGATTCCTCTAGTAGACTGACTGGAATGCCGCTGTGCGCATTGAAGGACTGTGGACCGGCTCCGTTGATGAGACGTAGTTCCCATCTCATTCGGGAGATAATGAGTTAACCAGAAAGCAAGAGTGTCAGGCGTAGGGTAGCAAGAGTGAGAAGGTGCATCATCATGAGTTCATACTATTGGCCTGAGGTCAGACCGCCGAAATGATGCACGACAATCCGATCTTGATAGTGTCACGCGATGGAGATAAAAGGGGTATCAGCAGAACGCCGGTACGTAGTGCCGACGCTTCGCTGCCTCGAAACGACCAGCAGTCGCGCGTTGGCTACGGACACTGCGCGGGTCGCCCGTTCCCCTACGCAGGCTCGAACTCGCACCCAGGATTACAAGGCAGGGGTGTGGCTCTCTAGACAACGGGTTGAAGATCCGTGGGCGTCAGCTGACTTGATGAAGATGCTTGTTCTGTTACCGTACAGATGTCACAGGGGTCATAAGAAGCTCTACGCATGAGGAATCGGTCATCATAATAAAGGCAATAAGCAGCGAATACAAAGTGGCCCTATGCGCAGCGTTTAGTTGGTGGAAGGCGTTTATGCAACCGATTTGTCTTCTTGTTTTCACTTTGTGCTGCATCTCACTCAAGCGAAGATTTTAACTGTAGCTTCGTATTGTTAGGCACTCAGGGTCAAGTTATACTTCGAATTTGGCCTCGGTTGGAGCCTCTCGGCTCCCTAGTTGGAGACCGAAGGACGATGAACACGTTTGGTTGGATAGACTTGTTAACATGACTAGGATCCGGCTCCAAGGGCGTTTGTGTAGTGAGTTGCTTTGTCCATTCCCCTCCTGCTTAGCGTCCCTCTCCAACCACGATCTCAATTAATAGGCATCAGATAACTTTTTGCGGCACAACAGCCGGCTGATACCTCAAGGGAACCTTTTCCATCCGTTATTGGTGACTCAGGTGTGCCACTTTTTCACTTTTTTCTTTTGTTTTGTATTGCGGCACCATAGCCGAGGTGTTTTCCACCTACAGTTAGCGGGTATAATGAATGAATGAAAGGGTTCAAGTAACAAAAATTCCGAGGAATATTTTTCCAATTTCCTTTATTGCGAGTGAATTATGCCACACATAAGCCTTTTCTTTGACTGAGGTTTTTCGTATTGTGCATTCATACAGAAATATTTTTGAGCCTGTTTTTTATCTGACCTCATGTTATCGGATTTTATTTTGTTCCACGGACCTAGCAAGGATGTACTGAGAATGATCGGTGGAGTAGGTCGGGGCATCACCGGATGATTAAACAGTCGCATTTACCCGTTATCGAGAGTTAAAAGTGGCTATTTCATACTGGATCCCGATTAAACTCTCAACCTACTTGAACAATTAAACGTTATTGAGATCTTGCCAGACTTGATCACTATACTCTTCGTGTGCTATTTATGCGCAGTTCTTGTACACATTAACCTGAGCTTTCAATGGATCAACTTCGTATATAGTCGGGAAATATGTGGTAATAATCTATATTTCAAGGGAGTAATAGTTGGACTTGAATGATATAACTGGAAGTTTTATCACTCTCGGAAAAGCGCTGTGCGGTCGTTACATCATTTTGAGAGCCGTCAGCAGTGCGCATTTCATCTGACCCTGGTAGGGCTCGAACCCGCAGCTGGACTGTAACTAATCCGCCGTAAAGACAACTGATCTATGGAAGACTAAATATTGAGGTGACTAATTTAATAAATGTGATAGAGCAGTGTTCAGTATCTACTGATTTGCACGTTAGTACTGTATAAGAGACAGAGTAACCTTCTGACCAACCTGTACAATGCTATTCCGCGCATGTGATGACTGTTTAAGTCTATATATGATAAACTTCTACTTAAAAATAACCCACTTTTGATCCGACGGATGGAGGATGTCAACAAAAGTTACAAATGCCAGTGAGTTACTATCCGTGGGGAAGTACACGCCTCCCATAGCAGTTCGAACTGGAAACATGTACACGTGGTGATCCAACCGAATTTATTCGAAGGCTATCAGCACCATTTGGCAAGGACAAGAGCAAAACAGTAAACGAAAGCTGACTGCCGACTGCTCCAACCGAAAACGAAAAAGAAATGATCCACAACCGATCTAATACAAGGTGAGCGAGCCTGAAGTTACCTCAGTGGAATGTAATCTGGATTATAAAGACAAGGTATTTGCGTTTCCAGTGTCACTGATGAAGTAGAGGTGACCTGTTACCAAGTATTGTGAAGGGAGGAAAAATATGGGAAGGAAACATAAGGATAACACCAGTGTAGGGGTGGGGAGTTTAAATCAACTGTCGCCATCCTCTATCCTTCCTGCTGTTTGATTGAACCATTCTCCGGTTACCCATGTTATCCTACACTGCCAAAATTTTGAAATTATTTCGAAATACGGCGCATAGAAAGAGAATGCGATCAGAAAGCTAAAAACACTTTCAAAAGAAATGTAAGTAAACATTTTAGCAAGATCGCGCTGGTCGGAAAGTTGGGCTAAGACGATGTGATTTGGACAAAATGCAAATGCTATTCATTCGTTCCAGCAATGTGGGTACATTGCTGGTAAAATCCTTGACATCGCGGACCCTGTGTAACACATAACCAAATTTTACGGACGGATGAAGTTCTCCAGCCAACCATTCCAATGGGGGTTGTTTAAAGGTCCAACCCTTTAACTTTGAGACAAAAAGCTGGTTCACTAAACAGTTGATTTGGAGCGTTCCAGGGGGAGCCGATAACTCCCAGTCAAAATCAAGCGAGGAGCAAATGCAGTCCTGAGGATAACTCCTCGATCATCCATGTAAACTGGGGCGTGTGAAGTTTATGGACAAAGAGAAAGTGATAGGCAAACTAGGTAGAGGATTCAGATCGACGCAATCTATCATCCAATACTACACGTCATAGAACAGCCACACAAAAGTGGAGCCTAGTAACATCATGAATGACGCGCAACAACAAGGATCAATGTGAGGCCGCAGTCAACGGTTGCACATGTGCTGCGGAAGGTCCCGCGTATAGCAGTTGTTTCACATGGGTTTAAGTGAAGTGGGCAGGAGAAATGAGCGAAGGTGGGAGGAGGAAAATCAGGCAGGAGAGCGTGAATCCAACGGATAGTAGAAGTTATATCGCTGCATCAATGGGGTGCAAGTAGACCACATCGCAACATCAAATGAAAATGATAAGTAAGTTCCTATATGACGTTCCGAAGACTCAGAGTGATGACACAAGCAGATGCACCAGGGTTATTGATTCCGTTGAGTTGAGTGAAAAACAGTGCATTGGACGCACGGGAATAACAGTTGACAGTCGAAAGATCAACAAAACACTGTGAGAAAAGTTTTGTTGTCTGTTCACTAGAATTAGCCATTCGGAGTGTAAATACAATCACTTTAGGGAATGAAAAAAATTGGCAACGATAGTAAGAGGACAAAAGCGCGCAATTCAGAGAATAAACTAATTTGGGGCCGTAAAGAAGCAGATGAAGTACAAACATACCGTTTCTCCAACTCTGCAGCCAAACGCTTCGCGGCTGATTCCGCTCGCTTTCGGCGTCGCTCCTCCAATGCCTCCTCAGACAGCGCCTGTCGAGTCCAGAGTAATCAGGGAGAGGAAAGTTACGAACAGAGATTAGATCAATTGTAAGCGAAAATGTAATACATCAGAATTTTCAAGTGATGTGTCTTCCCTATACTACCATTTCGCGCATTCGTTTCAATCACGTACATGCAACCAACAATGGATGCAAAGATAAGGGCATGCGCGATCGAATAGTGGAGAGTTGGTGGCCGAATGTTGCCCTTCATGTTACCACGGTAAGTTCGGTGTTGAAACCAGAGCGACAACCGCCATAAACTGATCAGAATGGTCTCAATGAGCTTGAGGATATGGAGTCGTCGATGCGAATAGCGACTGTGAATTATGAGGAAACTTAATGCATAAGAAACTGCAAATCATATTTTGTCGTTATATCACCGGAATGAGCAAGGTAAAGATGCAGGATCAAAACGCCTACACCTTGTCAAAAACATAAGATCAGACTCCAACCGGACGCCTGAAGCGCTCGGCCAGATCACAGATGCATCATCAGGTAGGATGAACATGGAGGGAGGTCAGTTGACACCTCGCGTGAAAGATACGAACAGGTCGACTGAGAGAATTGGTCGAGTTATAGTGCGCTGTTTTTGGGTGGCGCCCTTAGGGTCAGCAACAATGTTGCCTGGACTTCCTCACCCGGAAAGGGCTAGCTGCCTTCCAGAAACCAGTTAATAGTCGTCTGATTGAATTGTGAATCGGTAAATATGGACCGCACATATGGACGATGCTTCGAGCTCAACTTGTGCAAATATAAGCTCCGTGTAAACTACACGATGGGCATTCCGTAAATCAACCGCTGTGGCCGAGGCGCATCATTCAGATAAGCAAGAGGGTGAATGCTTCAAGTGAACATCAGAAAAATGCGGAATCCACGCGCAAAATACCAAACAAATACCAAAGAGTATGTAAAAAAAAACTGTGTAGTCAAGGCATAAAAAGGTAGCCTCGGAAAATCTGCGCTGTCGACGCACAAGTAACCAACAGTAGTCCGAAGCAGTAAGCTCCAAATCACCTTCCATGGTGGGGCAGGATAGAAGTGCAGTGGGACAAAACAACTGAAAACAGTTATTCTAGGTTAAAGGGGTGTTCGCTAAACGACAATGATGCAGAGAAAATCAATTACGCCGATGGCATTAGAGAGAAATGGTTTCACCTGGGGAGCACACGATGCGGTGAGTAATGAGAAAAGTACGCCAGTTCAGTAAACCAGCTGGGTCTCGCTTTAGACCGCAGTCACTGGTATGCAAGCAGCACCAGTACCAAACTTATAGGAAAGTTAACAAACGGCCGTGTAATTGTCTTACTGATGGTTCAGCTGACAAACTTGGTCTAGATGCAGCAATGATATGCAACAATGAGAAATCGTCGAAGCCTAAGGGTATCTACCATTGGATCGGAGTAAATGAGCAAGGTTGGTGGTGAGCCTGCAACTGTTTGTGAACCAATAACAGCTCAAGATACACCACGGTCTTTAGATCCGAGAATCACCTATCAAGCCCAGAAACATGATTGTTTCCTGCGGAACAAAGGTGAAGTGGATATGCCAAGCATGATAGGTAGTTCCGAGAAGGCAAATGCGGCGTAAAAGCATTGGTGTTAGCTATGGGAAGGAGAAAGAACGAAGGAGGCGTAACGAACTGCATACTTGTTTCACTACGGTTTTCGGATGACCTTCCAGAGCAACAATGTCAGTCGGCGGGCCATGGGCTCGTGTTCTATAACCCTCGAGTTCCACGCTAGATTGTCGTGCCTGTTCAACATCCAGTTGATGAGCTAAAAGACGATGAGAAAAGTGTTTGTGTGAATACAAAGCGGGAACAATTATTTCGTTCCTCAATGCCCGCAGCATGCAAATATCATGTGGCTTTGTGCACCATGTAGAGTTTTGTATGTTTATACTAACAGCATGGTAAACACCAAGCCTCTGTAGGATATTCCGTATGCTACTACAAGCGGTAGTGCAATCGCTCATAAGGAGAATATACAACGTTTGGGGGTCAAAGTGCATGGTCCGATCGAGTATAACAGATCAGTGAGTTCATCTGGATTGAGGACTATTAGTTAGCTGATCCGATGGACTGCACAAATTATGGTACGAGGTGTGACTCCGCGAACGTTATATTATCAGACCACAATCTACTGTTTAAGCCGGCTGATACGGTACGCTGAGATACGGTTATGAGACACGGGGAGGAGAGAAATCACAGATTCTTGCGAACTAAGGACGGGTTGTGCACAAATCAACCGCCATCGATACGATGTGGATTAAGGTGTGCAGAGGAACGGAGAGTCAGAACGGCACCAAGAAAGAAGTGCGCAAGTGGACTCCTCATTTATGTTTTAGGTATTATGCCATATAGACGTGGGTTCTCTGATACACAATCCGTATGCATCGTGATGTGCTCACAATGAACCCATGCGACGATTGAAATGTAACAGGCCTAAAGTGTCCACAGTGGCGGGGAACTTTCTCGTGTCGCGTGCATTAGTTACCGGCAGACACGATTAGTACTAGTATTCCTAGTCGAATTAGCGCGGACACTGTGAGACTGGTTCGTCAGTAGCAAACACTTGCCAAGTGATAAAAATTGTGAGGAAACTGCTTCGGCCGACATAAACAAGGAACGACTGCAGAACTAAAATGATGAGCTCAGATCATCAGATAAACGTGGCATGAATTTATTGAAATACAACAAAAAAGAGATGTATGGATGTGCAACTAAAAGAATGGACTACGAGCCGCATCCCGGACTTGCTCCAAATCTTGTTGGATCGCCCTAGGGGGGCCGCCACGTAGCTTATTTTTACATGGTGTGAAGTGATAAACAAAAGTTATGACCACTGACCTTTCTTTAACATTTCAGCCGCCTCCACATCTGCTTCGGATATGTCACATTGAAACGCGCGGTCCGTGAGATGAACGAAGTCGGTTTGTTCTAAAGAGTCAGGGCTTTGAGTAGGAGGTAGCCAATGCCAGGTGCTGGGATCGGTCTTGCCCAGAATTTGAGCGAAATTCAAATCAGGCTTTGATGGCTTTTTCTCTGCCAAGGTTTGTAGATCCGTGTCACATGGGCCCAGCTGCAGATCCACATTCTTCAACAGTCGCGACAAACCAAACTTCAACACCGCATTCAACTGGGAAAGGCAAATGAGACAATGTGAGCAGTAAATAAATGTTCAGTGAACAGAACAGAAGTGTGCAGTGGTAGTAGCCATGGGTTTAGAACGCTCAGTTAATGAGTTAAAAAGAACGTAACACTGTACTCTATGCATACCATCCGACCCAATGGGGCGTCCGATACAAAAATTGTGAATATAACGTTACAGCCATATATATATATATATATATATATATATACAGTTCAGAAAACAGACATCGAGCCATTGAAAACCAAGGAGATGGAAATAGAGAAAAAGAAGTTGATAACGGATGAAAAAACGGAACAACTTTTGTACAGGCTTACATACGCCATTTTTTAAGTTTGTTCGGTGTTTAAGTTAGTGTTTTTATAAATGTGAAATCAAGCAGATTTGCGCGCACTGCTTCCAATGTGACCGGTTTTGCGCCATTGCTTCCAACGTTGTGAGCCATTGGCATTCTTCATCTTTGGGTCCCCAGCCGAGGAGTCGAACTGGGCCAGCAATGACCGGGCGTGATGTCACTGATTTCATGTATTGCCACCAGGTGGACGGTTGACCTCCAGGCGGTCTTTACAAAAGTAACACTGAGTGCACAAACAGGGCGCCGCGTGGTAAACGCTAGTTAGGCATACGCCGGACGTGGCCAAACCATCTCAATTGATGCAGCCGGAGGACATCACAAAGCGGAACTTCCGCCTCACCCAAGACGCGATGTCTAACGTCATCATTACACACTTGGTGTTGCCAGCGCACGCGGGCAATCCTTCGCAAACAGCTACTATCGAAGGTCGAAAGACGAAGCATCTCTTCCACACGGATCGGTCAGGATTCGTATCCGTACACCAAGGTTGAGCGCACACAGGCTTTGTAAACCCTTCCTTTTAGCGAGAGTGAGATGTCGCGACGGCGCCACAAATGTCTTAAGTTGATAAACGCTGACCGGGGTTCGGCGATTCGAAGGGATACCTTTGCTCCAATAGTGCCGTCGGCAGAGACGCAGCTCCCTAGGTAGATAAGACACTCTACATGTTCGAGCTGTGGGCGGTCGATGGTGAATTGGGGAAGCGGTGTTTGCCATTCCTGTAGAAGAACCTTGCACTTGGATAGGGCAAAGCAGATACAAAATTTAGACGCTTCAATCACCAATTGATCAACGAACGATTGCATCCCATAAGTGTCGTCACCGAGGAAGGCGATATCAACAGCGTAGTCTAAATCGGTCACGCGATTACCTGGAAGATGCTCGATGCCGATGTTCTGTAGGTCCTCTAAAGCTTCAAAAAGGACATCATCGATCGTAAAGTTGAATAGGAACGGTGACATTGGGCATCCCTGTCGCACACCAATGGAGACAGAGAAGAGTGGGGAAAGCGTGCCATAGGTTCTCACTCGGTCTGAGGTGTAGAGGTATAGCGCGCGAAGTATGGCGACATACTTTTCCGGAACTACATTCTTCAGCAGGCAGTTCCCTAAAGCAGGTCGATCTAGCGAGTCGAGCGTAGCCCGAATATCCAGGGTCTGCGGTAGAGGTGATGATGCTCCGGGAGTTAGCGAAGAGTGAAAATTCGATCCACACATCCTCGACTGGTGAGAAAACAAGCTTGCTCCTCACAGTAGTGTGACTCACGAGTGGGGGATAACCCGCGGAGCATGATGGATGCTAGTAGAGGCAATAGATACCGGACTAATGCCCCTGTAATTGGGACACGAAGTGTGAGAATATTTCTTCAAGAATGGAAGAATTATTGACTCCTCCCAGGAAGGCGGACTATTTCTTCGTGTCAGATCTACAGAAACAGTCATGTCGGTTACTTGACGACTGCTGTACCGCCGTATTTGTACAACTCTGAGGGAAATTCACCTGAGTCGGTCGCCTTGAAGCGCTTCAAGTGATGAATCTCAAGACAAACCTCCGCGTCAGTTGGTGGTCCAAGTGGCACTGACCATGACATGCGGCTGGGGGTCCTGAGTGTAAAGGTGAATGGCGAGGAAGAACCGAACTAAGACTGGAAGTGCTCAGCCCATCTGTCCATGCATCTCTGCAAATGAGTGATTTTTGATCCGTCCACCAAACAGATGACCTGGCTGATATCAGACCTCCTGTGTCCAGTGGTCCGAATGAGCTGAAACAGCTTGCAGGTTTCCAGTGAGAGCGGCGGTCTCCATCTCCAAGGCGCTTTGGGTCCACCAAACTTCCCGATTGCTACGTAAACTTCGTTTGAGTTGTCTGCTGATAATAAAGGTTAACTGAGAGAGTTCGGCAGCAGTCGAACAGTGTCAGGGAACGCGCCGATGTCCAACCCTTCAAGCGGTGATATGATAACTCACAGACCGATTGAGCTGAAGTTAACATTGCTTGCTGCAAGAATTGCCAGCGGCGTTCAATATCAGTGGGCGGGACACAGGGTAGTATGCTTGCCAGTTATAGTTGATGGTCTAGCTGAGCTGACTGATCATCTAGCCTGTTCCTATCAAGCTTACAAAGCCTCCGTTTCTGATTTCTTTCGAATCGCATGCAAATGTTGGCACAGACCCATACGTGATCTGAATAGACGCAGGTAGACTAAAATGATCTACAGTCATGTAAGCTGCCACGCCACCTGAAACTGATTGCAATGTGGTCTATTTGGGAAAAGCCCGCGACGGCGATGAAGGGCGCCAGGTGACAGAGCGACTCCTCGAGTGCCTGCAGTCTGTGCTTGTGAGAAATAAACTGTATTCGCACAAATTCAGAAGCCTGGTTCCGTTATCTGAACGACTCTCATTCAGTGAATGATGACCACCCAGGTGATATTCACTTGTTAACAGTTGACCGACACGTGCGTTGTAGTCTCCGGCGAGAAATATGATGTCCTACTTGGCGGTTTGCGTAATAGCTGATGTAGCTGGTGGTAAAATATGTCTTTGTTCAGATCAGAGCTACCATCGGTTGGCTCATAAGCAGAAATTACAAACAGGTTGCGAGTTTCACCGCGATGTCCGTTAATCTTGCATGAGCCTTGAAGGCGAACTGGACAAAGTTGGCTGTTAACTGAGAACCAAACAAGGAGCGCAGCCTCGGCTTTGTTGCTTAACGCCACACGAACGCCGACCAAGCCAACGATAGCAACTTCTGCGTCGCCAGCTAAACGTAAGTGATATGTGGTTTCCTGGTTGGTTGGAGATTTCAATTTGAGCACAGTATTTGAGTACTGTAATCGCGTTTCGGAAAGGCAACAGATCTCAATGGCGAAGGAACACACAGTACGTGCAAGGCCGGCCTGTTGTCCAATCTGCATAAGTGTCTGGACATTGAGGGTTGCTAGATGGAACGAAGATCTGGGTCCGAGAATAGCCTTAGGCAGGACATCACGGGCAGTGAAGTCGAGTAAAACAAGGATTATTAACAGAAGAATGATTGGCGTGAGATGAAGATTGAGAGGCTTGAGAAGCGAAGGAGGCAAGAGGGACAGAATACGAAACAGCGATGTAATGCATGGTTTTTGCAGCAGGGGTGATACTACCCGGTTGCACAGGCCGAAGTAGGGAACTAACAGCGAAGTAGCGAGTAAATGGGTTTGGTTTGGAAGTCAGCCTAACAGCCACTTTCACAGGCATGACTAATGTTTCTCTATCCAGTTTGTGACAGCTCACACATAAGTTTGGATAAACGCATGTGAATATGTTGTACTCCAACTGTCATTGGATACGGATGACGCCAATCATAGTATATATGCATACCGAATAAATTCGACGAGGATACTCATAGCGCGTTTGTACGCCTAACTTAGTGCAGGGAAACGGCACTCGAGCAAACCGAAAATAACATTACCAGAACATGAAGGAAGTGAGTTTATGACAAACTCATGTTGCTTTCAGGTGTTGCGAATCCAAGGCAAATTTGATCGATGCGAACTCCGTGGACTGATCATAAGGGCGGGTGCTCAGGTGCAGGAGAAAGTACAATTGCACGCGGAATAGAAGCAGGATGCGTATGCTCCCATTCGATTTACTAATCCAGGCCAATAAGGTGGCGTATGTGGTACGTTTGCCTGCGTGCTGAGTAATCTTGCATTTCAGAAGTAGATGTAGTTTGAGCTCCCTGGTGTGGATGCGCCAGATGTGAATGTTGACAAGGTGCGTACCTGTCTATTACCCACAACCTCGTTCAAACTGGCTCCAGAAGACAGTTGGTCGTCGCTGGAGGGGACGGAGTGCACCGTTCTCGAGACGATGCTAGGCTCAAAGAGTGGTTCCATCCTGTGTGGAAGGGGCTACGATCCAGCCACCGCCATGTGTACGCCTGGTGTGCATGATTCACCAATTAGGCCGGAATGCTTCTGTTCTGCATGTTGAAGGAGTGTGGGCCGGCTCCGTTGAAGAAACGTGACTCCCATCCACATGCCTCCCGGTCTTGTTCCTTCGGGTTTACACCGGATATGGGGTGTGCGGGTGGAACTGTGGGTGGTGCAGCGCAAGCCATCCATGGTCCCTCAGTAGGCGCAGGCGTCCTGTCGCAGTCCCCATGGAAGCCACAGTGACAGGCAAATCCGGATACGGATGACGCCATACCATAGAAATATATATATATATATATATATATGTATGTATATATATTGGCGAGCTACCACATCGGTGTTGCGGCGCTCAGTGAAACCCGGCTCGCTGATCAAGGTAAGTTGCATGAAGCAGGTGCTGACAACACATTCTAGTGAGTGGGCAACGCCGCCTCAGCACCACGTGAACATGGGGTCGGATTTGCAATATCCAATAGCCTCCATGGCCAGCTGGTGGGTGAACCAACAGGCATCAGCGCGCGACTGATGACTGTTCGCCTACGACTCGGAAGAGGTAAGTTTGCCACCTTTATAAGCAAGTACGGTCCGATCATGCGTTATCTTGATGACAAGCGTGATCAGTTCTACACTCAACTATCCTCCGTGATACGGCCTGTGCCGAAGAACAACCGACTATTTCTGCTGGGTGATTTCAACGCGCGCGTTGGGCGTGATGCA